CACGTCTTCTTTCTTATCCACTGTTAATGTCCTTTTCGAGCGTGAATTGGATTTCCGGAATGATTGAGTTGAAGGTGTTTTGGAGCGTTTCTAGTTGATCCTTTGTAACAACAACAAACGTGTCGGCTACCTATCGTACCCACAACTTGGGGTTAACCAATGTAAGAGCCGTCGATCCCAACTTCTGCACAATACAGACTGACAAAAACTGAAGCTACCAATCGGCTCACACTTCCGATGCCTATTGACTTTTTCCTCTCGTTTGAAATTTTAATTTTGTTCGTTGCACAGTCTCACTAGTCTGAAGACAAGTTGGGAAACCAGTCTCGCAAAATGTACCTTTTTGGTCCAAAGAACACATTTTCTTCAAATTACATTTCTTGGGATGCATGATTTCCAATTTAAAAGTCTTAGTTCTCAAAGCATTTTTCCCAGGTATAAATTTGAAGCAAAGGACAACGGCAGAATTTATTTGTACAAATGAATTTCGAGAGAGCTTATCAACTGCTTCCTCTCTTTGCATGAATAACGAAACAACTGGAGAACACATCATTTTGGATTTTCACAGAATCAATAAAAGCAGGGTCATTTAAACGGGGTGAATGATCAATAGTAATGTCATCTTTAAACTTGGGGAGGAAAGTAGTGACGGGAATTAGCAAGAATAACAGTGTGGCATGCATTTACCAGGGCAGTTGAAGATTAACCACATGGTCTAATTACTTCCATAGGTCGGGTTTCTCCCACCGTATATGTGCTGCTTCCATGTAGCGCAAGATCCGTTTTGTTTGTGCTCGAACAAGAACTCGGAAAGATGCGTTTATGTCAACGGAGTGACCACTGTCTAGCAGGTGTTTTCTATTGGTTGACCGTGGCGCTTTGTTTTCTTGTTTTAAAAGTCAGGCAGGCAAATGTTCAGCAGCCCTGGTCGCCAATTGCCTTTGCATACGGGCTGCTATATTTTTGAAGGAAATTTAGGGGGTAGCCACGCTTATGTAGGGCCATCTTTTATGCGGGCATTCTCTGCCGGTAGGCAATTGGCGATCAGGGTTGCTGAACATGACCTTAGTTTTATTGATTCTGTGAAAATTCAAAATGCTGTGTTCTCTAATTGTTTCGTTATTCATGCAAAGAGAGGAAACAGTTGGTAAGCTCGCTCGATTTTTTTTGTACAAGTACAGTCTGCTGTTTTCGCTTGCTTTATAAGTCATAAATGCCCATTTGGTTTGCCTTGCCTTTCTTGGGTGATCGCTCGACCATTATTAACATCTGTCCTCGACCCGTGCCAATAAGCAGCGGCATAACGTGCACAATAATCGAATTTGCCGACCTGTGTTTTTATGTCAACACACTTCATATAACAGCTAAGCAGCCTGCCCTGCAGTTATCACACTTCGTTTTTGCTCCCCAAGTTAGCCACCTTGTAAATTCCAGGCCTCGGTTGTGTGTGTGTGTGCGCCTTTCCGCCCGCAATTGCCCACATGTACTGTAAATAGTAGGTTTTCGCTGACCACCTTTCGCTTAGGTATCTTTGCCCACCCAGTTTCTGTGCCAGTAGACGTTCGCGTGCGCATCCGTTCATCTGATTGGCTGCCGCTCCGGTCGTGTGCACGCGACATACACTGTGAATCAATATCTCTCCCAAGTTTGGCTGGGTACACCGACCAATCAGAGCTCGGGTGACTGCTGGCGTAGCACACGCGTACGGTCGACGCGTGGTGCGGCGCCTGCCCGCAGCGCGTAGACATGGACTATTTAGTGCACGCACGATGCATGCATGTGCCAAATTCTGCCTCGCGGAAGTCTCCCGCGCGTGGGAAATTGTTAGTCCCGTGCTGGAATCGTGCTAAGTCACCGCCAACACGAGGAGAACTTAGCACCTAAATTGATACCTTAGTATTAAGTTGAT